ACACACAGACACACACACACACACACACATAATTATATATATATATATATATATATATATATATATATATATTTTGAGAGAAATTATAATTCCGTTTTGAAGCGGAAACAATTTAAAACGGTTGTCAGTTTTCAATACGGCCACATTGAACTACCTTTTCTACACAAATTTCTGAATGTTTTGTCCATTTCAAGAGAGTTTCCCTTAATTCTTCTTTGCGTTCTTAGAAAGCCATTCTATATCTGTCCATTTATCTTTTTGACTATCTTTCTGTTAATCGCCTCCTTTTTCTCTCAATATATATATATATATATATATATATATATATGATTAAATAAATTAAAAACATTATGTCTGCTTATTTTTATCATAATCCTTTCATAGTAACTATCATTTTTCCGTATATTACAATTAAACAAGTCAAGAAATTTATTTTTATTGTAATATACGGAAAAATATTCGGAAATATAAAGAGATTATGATTTTAAATAAGCAGACACATATGTTTGAATAGATATGCCTAAAAGGGAATTTGATGCATAAATATATATATAATATATATGTATGTGTGTGTGTGTGTTTATCTTTTAGGCATGTCTGAATAAATTACAAACATTATATCTGCTTATTTTTATCATAATATTTTTATATTTTGAATATTTTTCCGCATATTACAATAAAATAAAATAATTTTCTTGCCTTATTTAATATATATATATATATATATATATATATATATATATATATATATATATATATATATATATTAGGCAATTGAATGAAGAATGAAAAAACGTTTTTTAACGAAAAAGTTGATCGGAATAACGTAAGATTTCGTAGCTTTATACTTGAGTCTATAGGTAAACATATTCTCTATTTGTACTCGAGTCTATAGGTTTCTCTACTAAGCATTCCTTCATCGGAAATCCTATCTTAATACGTATTAAATATATATTTATTTTCGGAAAAATTATTCAGACTTTCCAGTGGCAACAATCTTGGGTGTGATTTTCCCTCCGATCGCAATGATTGCATTAGACCTATGACCTTAATGTTGAAAGGTCACGTGCCTTGATAAACGTCTGGCCTGTTTTTCCCAGCGGTTACCAAGGACTGTTTTGGGGAAAAAATACGGTAAGCTCAATTCGGTAATGTTGAAGTCTTCCTCCTGAGCAATTCTTAAAATAAGCCCAGGTGGTAAAAGCCTGAATATATCATCTCTTCGTTGCATGTTTATTTAAAGACGTGAATTGTTTTTTTTAACAATTAAACGTTCACACAGACACACTTATCGTACGATATTTGCTAACGTTTTTTTGCTGAATGTGGCAGACACACGGACACAGACGCTAGCGAAAATTTATTAAAATAAAGCAAAGATTGGTTTGAATCTGTTTACAAAACCGTATGTATATGGGAGGGTTTGATTTATTTTTAAATGTGTAGATGTGTGTGTGTGTGTTTTTTACAGTAATATTCACGCTGTACAAGACTCAAGTTAGTGTGTTCCAGAGTAAGATGCAAAGTTTTTGCGGTTATGTGAAGAAGTTACCGGTTAACCCTAGACTGAACAAGTAATGATCGTAGTGATCGGGAAAACATCCTCTTGGGAGTCGGTTCCACAAAGCAGTGGTTCGTTTGATGAAGCTGCTCGCTGGAGAATAGGAAAAGAATGATGGTGGTTTTCAACAATGTGCGTAGCATGGTGGATCTTAGCTGTGAGTAGACTTGTAATATTAAGGAATATAATTCGTCTGGGTTATTTCTGTGTAAATAGCAATCGAGCGTTGAAACATTATTTACATTACTTGGACTGTTGTCCTCAACATTCATGACACATTCAAATCATTTATTTAGACATAGTACGTGGGACTAGAACAATCTACACCAGCAAAATAAAGGTTTCAGTTCGACATTCCAACCACCTGAACAAGACAGGAGCGTACACCGGCCGAAACGTTGTGATAAATATGGCAACAAAGATGAGGACAATTATCCGATTAATGTAAATAGTGTACATAATACCTCATCTCAAAAATATAGAGTTTAAATATGTTTCGTCTCTGAGAAAAGTGTTCTAGTGTGGAAAGGACAGAGAGAGGCTTTGGGACGTTAGCGAGACTTGAGAGAAAAAAACTGGGCAGTTCCCGCCCAGATATACCAACATGACTCCATTTTAGACCCCATTCTAGGATATAGCACGAGGAGTCAGGAACTTACTGGAGCGGTAGAAAGAAACATCTTTACCGAGGTATCGTATATAGGAGCCCCAGTTGCGGTCACGGTTGTCGCAATGTCCGTTCAAGGCACGCACCCTCCCCGAAAGGGGACATCCAATCATTGTGATTGGTGATAGTTCAGGATCGGATCGGCAATGCTGGATTGTAATTCTTTGGTTTTCGATGTATTGAATGTAATATAGTTATAGAAGAGATGGGTAATGCCAAAAGAATTCAAAGAAATGGCAGAATCTGAAGATCAAGCAATATTCTGAGAACTG